AGTGTGTACAAAAATTCAGTACAGCAATCTGGAAGTAATGAGATACCACCATACAATGTAATCCTGAATGTAATTCACTTATTTATGTAAGCATAACTGTGTAATAAAGTGATCAAGTTATTAAATATAATTTAAATATAATCCTGACAACAAAAGGACATTTTTAATGTACCCTACAAATGTCACCTGATTATTTATCATATCTTCCTGAAAAATAATCTGGTTAGTTTTTGGCAAGTCTCCCATTATAGCTATGGAAAAGAACTGTGAGTGACAGAGTCATTTAAAATCAAGAAGGGGAAGTAGAACAGAAAGGAGTCAAGAGTCCATTACATAAAGCATTGTGTGTGTGTGTGTATGTGTGTGTTTAAAGCAAATTAAATTAATTTGATTTAATACAGATAGAATTACAAAATTCAGATCGTGGCTATACAGACAGTCAGCCCTTCTAGAACTAAGCTGAGTCATTAGGGACCTGCTTTATAAGACTTTAGAGACAATTGCTTGGCTTCAGTCAGCCAACTCCACCCATCCAGGGCACCCTGGCACCTTCTCCCTTTTAGTGCGTCTCTGTGGATTAAGGATGTTAAGGAATGGGTATTTTGCTAATCGTGTAGTTGATACAGTTTGTATCGACTACTAGGGATGTAAGAGACTAGTTGACTACTTGATAAACAAATGCTTATCGGGTAGTCGAGTAGGAACTCGACTAGTCGCTTCTCCCCCCACTTGTTGCCTCTATCAGAGAAAGGCAGCAAGTGGGGGAGCACAAGCCGGTGCTGGGAGGAGCCGACTTAAAAGCCGGTTCCCCCACCCTCCCCAGCACTGTCTCTGTGGGGGGCAGGGGGCCAGTGGGGAAATGATGCGAGTGGGGATTGAAACAGTCCCGCTCGTGCTTGTCCCACTGCTGCTCCTCTCTCTTTGGAATGTACAAGAGCCACTTGCGGTTCTTGTATATTTCAAAGAAAGAAGCAGAGAGGGGAACCTGTGCCAGCGGGGACTGCTTTGCTCCCCACTGGTGTGGGTTCCTGCTGCCTTTCTCTCTTTGACATATACAAGAGCCACGGGCAGCTCCTATACATTTCACAGGGAGAGAGGCAGAGGGAACCCACTGCGTCTCTCCCTTTGAAATGTACAAGAGCCACAGGCAGCTCTTGTACACTTCAAAGGGAAAGACGCAATGGGATAGCGAGTGTCCCCCTTATTGCCTAATCGAGTAGTTGATGGAAATTCCATCGACTACTCGATTAGCTGATTAATCAAAATTTAACATCCCTATCCACTACACCATTAGTCGATAAGGGGAGGCTCGCTCCAGGACCACTGTGCCTCTGCATTTTAACTGTAGGAAGAGCCTGACAGCTCTTACCACATTTAAAATGCAGAGGCACAGTGATCCTGGACCTGCATGAGCAGGAACTACTCAGTCCCCACTTGCGCTGGGTCCAGGAGCCCCAGTTCACTATGGCTAGGAAGGCTGCGGGCAGGGGCTTGCAGCAAGCCCAGGCCACTGTAAACGGGATGCTGCCAATAGAGGCAGCGGGAAGGAGGGGCACATGGCACCACGGAGATGGTGCTGAGGGGAACCAGTTTTTCAGCTGGCTTCCCCCAGCACCATCTCCTGTTTCCACCCCTCTCTTGATGACTCTCATGCAGAAGCAGCAAGAGTAAGGGAAAGCAAGCAGTCGAGTACTCAACCACCCGATTGTGTGTATCGGGTAGTAGAATAATTGTCTACTTGCTAACATCCCAACTGTAGATACTTCTACAGTATCGGGTAGTCGAATAGTTGACTACTTGCTAACATCCCCACTGTGGATACTTCTACCCTGCGTCTGGGAGCATGTTCCTTAGGTTAACTAAACAGCGAGAGAGAGGCTAGCTGTGCTCCAGCTAGCACCAAAAATAGCAATAGAACCTGTCGCTGCTTAGGGCAGCTATTTGCATACAAACCTACCTAGACTACCTGGTTTATATTTGGGTGACTAGGCCCTGCCATCACCCATGCTCCCCTCCCCCAGCTACATTTTTGAACCACGCTAGGTTTGGCAGAGTTAGCGTATCTGTCTATCCAAGCTGGGGAGCCTGCTCCCAGCTGCAGTATAGACATATCTTGTGTGTATTACACATTGAAAATAACGTACCCCTCTGGGTACTTAGCCTGCCACATCCTCTGCACAGAAGGCCCCGTGCACCTGTGAAGAGCCCTACTCAGTGGCAGTCTGTACAGGTGTCAAGTTCCATCAGCTCAGAGCTCATTGTGGGATCAGTACCTTCCATGTCCTGGCCAGGAGAAGGTACTCTGCTACATATTTAGAGAGTGTATGTGTCTGCCTGTGTCCATCTGGAAGTCTGCTTGTTCAAGAACTCCTTCTAAATGGTAAGAGATAGGCCCACAAAATTAGGTATGCAGCTTCCTCTTCTCCTAACTTAAATCAAGGCAATAGTTTGGTAGTGCCAGGACAATGAGATGTGCCTGGAGTGTGACCGTTTCTCATAAAAATGGAAAGGGTGGGGTTTGGTTGGAGAGACAGTTATACTGTAGAATGGCTACAGGGGAGCAGCCAAGGGACAGAGATGGGGACCGGGACAGCTATAACCCCATTGGGGTAGCAGTGGGCAGAAGTGGAGAAACACAGTTCTCTCACTATATATTTCAGATAATTTATCTCTTTGGGTATGTCTGCACTACCACCCTAGTTCGAACTAGGGTGGTAGTGTAGAAATACCCTCAGTGTCTCTGTCTCTCTCTGTCCACAAGCCAGGGGACATGCCCCCCTCTCCCTGCTGCAGCTGCAGCAGGGAGAGGGGGGCATGTCCCCTGGCTTGTGGACAGAGAGAGACAGACACACAGAGGGTATGTCTACACTACCACCCTAGTTCGAACTAGGGTGGTAGTGTAGAAATACCCTCAGTGTCTCTGTCTCTCTCTGTCCACAAGCCAGGGGACATGCCCCCCTCTCCCTGCTGCAGCTGCAGCAGCTATGAATGGGTTTTTTTAGACATACCCTCTGTGTGTCTGTCTCTCTCTGTCCACAAGCCAGGGGACATGCACCCCTCTCCCTGCTGCAGCTGCAGCAGCTATGAATGGGTTTTTTTCTGGCTGGGCTTGCCCTCTCTCTATGGGGCAGCCTGCTTCCTGAACCCCTCCTCCCCATCCCCATTCCAGAGCAATGATTTAACGTAGAAAAATAAAATGTATTTGAGTTGAGGACCCGAATAATGCTGCGTGAATCGTCTAGTAAATAAATATTTGGCAGTTTCCCACTCCTCAGTGAACAGCTGCTGCCCTGTATTCCTAGCATCAGGCGGTGCTGTGGATAGGTATAAATAACAGCACTTACATCAAGGACTGCTGGATTTCTGGATCTAAAGGCAATGGAGAACAGACAAAGAAGAAAACAAATGCTCCTCCTGAGATAAGAGTGCTTTGGTCTCTACTCTTTGTAATGGAAGGACAGAGGGACGTCAGCCCTGCAACATGCTTCTTTCACTCAGTTCCCTTTTGCACTTTCCCCATGGGATGTCTTGCCCTAAATAATGGAAGGCTCCCTCACAAGGAGGGAACGGAACAGGAGAATAATGTGAATCCTGAAAAGGCATTTGAGGTACCCACCTCTCTGTGCCTTGTGAAAATGCAAGAATCCGTCCATACTCTACCATGGAGGAAAAGAGAAGGCAAACATTGAGGCTACATCTACACTGGCGGCTTCTTGCGCAAGAACAGCTGTTCTTGCGCAAAAACTTGCTGGGTGTCTACACTGCCCGCACGTTCTTGCGCAAGTAAATTTACAGTACAGCGTCAGAAAACAGGGCTTCTTCTGGAAGAGTTATTCCTCTCCCCACGAGGAATAAGCCCTCTTGCGCAGGAGGGCAGTGTAGACAGGCAACACGAGTTTCTTGCACAAGAAACCCCTATGGCTTAAAATAGCCATCAGAGCTTTCTTGCGTAAGAGAGCGCCCACACTGCCATGGATGCTCTTGTGCAAAAGCACATCTCTTGTGCAAAAGCACATGCCAGTGTAGACGCGTTTTTGTGGAAGACTTTTTGTCTTCTACAAAACAGTTCTTGCACAAGAAGCTGCCAGCGTAGATGTAGCCTGACTGAGTCACCTCTTTCATTAAACAGATCAGGAACTGGCTTTACCCTCTTAATGAGGGTGCCTCACTCTCACATTCTGAGGGGGCGGGTAATGAATGGGATGGATACTACCTTTTCTGGACATTCTAGCCATTCAGTTAACTGAAGTCTTTTCACAATGGTTAACTCTCCTGGCCAGTGGGTAAGCTAGGTGGGGGAAAGCATTGCCTTCCCAAACTGCCAGCCTGGTCCCACCCACATTCCACCCCGCAAAATGCCTACTGTAGGTGTACTGGGGATGGAGTGTTGCTGCCCGCAAGCACCCACCCTCCCTGTGCTCTGAGCCTGGACCGTGAGCCACCCGCCCTCCCCGTGCTCTGGAGCTGAGGAGGCTGGGGACGTGTGCTGCTCCAACTCCCCATGGTGCCATGGGAGAGCAGTTTGGCTCCTGTGGACGGGGCGGGGCCTGGGCAGAAGGGGTGGGGCTGGGGGTTTGCGTCCCCAGCCCTACCTTTACCCACCACCCACATTAACTCTTGAACCTAACCTTCGTTGGCTTGCCTGTAAGGGTTAAAAGCATAGAGAGTGGATCTTACAGAGTCTCCAGGAATGCTAGGGAAGCAGGAAGTGAGATGGCAGGAGGCCACGAGAGCCAATGGAAATAGTATGAATTTTTTAATTGGAAGCAGCAACCTTCTTGTACCAGTCTGTGTGTGACCAGAGCAGGGCAGGGAAATATGAACTGAGCCAGAGAGCAGAAGAATCCAGTATCCAGTGAAATCCATGCCTTGGGAAGGACTAAATCTTGGAACAACCAATATGTGAGAAGAACAGTCAGACATGATCAGGTTATTTTCTTTATTTTTGGTGTAGTCCTTTTACTAAAGGGGCCTCTGACTTTTTTTGGGAAGGATCCTGTGCGCTGCAATCTAGCCCTAGAGGCTACAACTCCCATCAGCCCTTGAGGTAAAAGGAGGAAGGGGGGCTTGTTCAGGCATGTTGGGAGAGGGACTCTCCATTTTTGGGACAGAGGAACCGGGCTGCTGCAGAAGGGCCTTTGTTCCAGTCCAGGAGCTGTTGTATTGCAGCTATAGCCTGGGATTGAGAGCCTGCGGGGCTTGGATTTAGCAGGCTGCTTCTGCGGCTGTTCATTGTCCTTAGAAGGGAGAGCCTCTGGCTGTGCCTGTGGCCGAGAAGGGCTACACATACCTGCACACAGGAGGAAACTGTAAGTAACTGGGCTCTTTGGGAAAGTGCTGCCTGGGACAGACCTCAGAGATACAGACTAACTCTGGGTCCAAAGGGAGACAGAGTGACCAGTCCAGGGAACAAGAGCTGCTGGCATTTGGTGGGCCTGCTCCAGTGGCAGAGGGGTTTTTGCAGGTGGCTGCTCAGCATGGACAGAGTACCTGAACATGGCTGTCTCCATTGCAACTGCAGATCTTCAAGCGTGCCCACGCCAGCAAGTGTCTGAGACTCTGAATCCAGGAGTGCACACTCTGGGGTGGGATAAATGGTGGCAGTGTAAATGGCAGATGGATAAATTTCCTTTCTTGCAGTGTATTTTTAATTGATTTTGTTCCATTTTAATCTGTTAAACCTGGTTTCTTTAAGTTGTTAAGTAAAGGTGTGTTAATTCTAATTTAATCAATTAGATATATCTTATTTATCATTGTTGTCTTGGAGTTAGTTCCAGGTTATTACTGGAATAATTTTATTCCTGGAGGCTCCCAAGGCACACCATAAGTGTGTACAGGGCCAGGTTGGTGGAGGCACCGCCATTGTACATTCTTTGGGAGCAAGAGACTGCAGCAAGGGGAGTGATAGGGAATCCCCAACTAAACAACATATCCACTGGGGTACTCAGGATCTCCTTTTATGTTAAAAACATCAGGCGCCCGGGCACACACATGAGTGTGACCTGCTCCCAAGCAACTCTGGGAGGAAAAAGGGGAGTTACATTGGTTTGTTGGATTTCTCTGTGCTGAGCACTTGTTACTACTCCCCTTACACGGTAAGTCTCCAAACTGAATCCCAGGAAAGCAATTCTCTGTGGTTTAATCATTCTTTTTTAGTTGCTCGGACACACCTAGCAACCAAGTAAAGTTTCACCAAGTATATTTTCTTTGCTTTGTTAATAAAAATCGCCTTTTCAAGGCCATGATCTGATCTTTGTGTCCTAGATGGGAGGAGGTTTTGTGTGCATGGGCACTGCAAAGAGACTGCAAAGCCAACTATTAAGAAAAAAAATTATTTTTTGTCAAGCTTTCTCCAGAGGGAGGGTTAAAGAGCTTGAGGGTACCCCACAGGAAGAAATTCCCAAGTGCATCTTTCTAGATTCACAAAGGGGTTTTTGCATTTGGGTGGTGGCAGCAATACCAATCCAAGTAAAGGAATCTGTAATCGTGGGGAGTTTTTAAACAGAAGCCTTTAGTGGCAAGGTATTTTAAAGTCTCTTGTGGGCCCCCACCTTCTGCACTCAAAGTGGTGGAGTGGGGAATAGTCTTGACAGGTGGCAAAGGCACTGTAAAAGGCACATTTTCCTATTTAGGGACCATGTGGCTGCTAAGTCCAGAGGAGCTGTGATAAGGCAGGAGAATTTCTTTCTGTTTTGATTGATCTTTGTTTTGCTCGTGTGTTTTTGCCAAAGTATCGGGAAATACCTTCATATAAGAATCATCCTTGAACACTGGCAATTTATGATAGCACTGATGCGTTCTTCTTCACTTCTTGAAATAATCTGTGTTTCAGGCTTGCTTGGTGACATAATCCATTTACTTTTAGGAATGCAATCAGATTAGTTTTTTGGTAAACTGCTCTGAAGTGATACTCATAAAGCAAAAAAAAGTATGTAGAAGTCATGACATTTAGATTAAAAATACTGTAATCTGGGGAAATAACCTGTTTACTTTTGGTGAAAATCTTAAAAGGTAATTGGATTACTGGCTGCCTGCTAGTTCAAAATGTTTGAATGACTGGCAAACTACACTAAATGTAAAATAATATGTAATGATTTTCATTTTAGAGCACAGGAATCTTTTTTTCTATCAAGGACTGTTGACCTACAGGAAAAAAAATCAATTGTGGGTCACACACAAATAAAAAGCATTTAGTTTAGATTTAGAGAGAAATAGAAAATGTTCAGCTCACCTGCCCAGGAGGGCACAGAGGCTTAGGGCTTCCACCTGCAATGGGGAGAATTGGTGCTTTTGGTCTAGCTCAGTGGAGGCCTGCGGAGGCTCAGGGCTTCCCCCCACAAGTTGGGGCAAGTTGCTGCTCCTGATTCCAGCCCTGTGGGGAGCGGAGCATTGAGGTTTGGGGCTGCCCCTTACCCCCATAGTGGGCTGAGTTAGTATTTCTGGCTCCAGCCCATGGGGGAGGGCTGAGACTTGCCATGGGTTGGATGAAATTAAGCAATGGTCTAAATTTGGCCTGCAGGATGTAAGTCCCCAATCCCTCTCTTAGGGTATGTCTACACTACAAAGTTAATTCGAACTAACAGACGTTAGTTCGAATTAACTTTGATAGGCGCTACACATTCAAACCGCTAGTTCGAACTTAATTCGAACTAGCGGAGCGCTTAATTCGAACGAGGTAAACCTCATTCTACGAGGACTAACACCTAGTTCGAATTAACGAGTTCGAATTAAGGGCTGTGTAGCAACTTAATTCGAACTAGTGGGAGGCTAGCCCTCCCCAGCTTTCCCTGGTGGCCACTCTGGGCACCACACGGGAAACTCTTCTGCCCCCCTCCCGGCCCCGGACCCTTTAAAGGGGCACGGGCTGGCTACGGTGCCTGTGCCAGGTGCAAGCCTGAGGAAGAGTGTTCTTCCTTTGACTTCATGCTGTATAGACAGGGCCAAAAGCCGAATTAATCTATCTCAACTTACGCTTTCCACAATTGATGCACCTGAAGTTGCATAGCTTAATTTGAGTTTTGCCCTGCTGTGTAGACATACATTCTAAGGGTATATCTACACTGCCACCCTACTTCGAACTAGGGTGGTAATGTAGTCAACCGGAGTTGCAAATGAAGCCTGGGATTTGAATTTCCCGGGCTTCATTTGCATGTTGCCGGGCGCCGCCATTTTTAAATGTCCGCTAGTTCAGACTCGTGGAACGAGGAGTAACAGTAGTTCGAAATAGGAAGCCTAGTCCGAACTACCTAGTTCGTGCCATGTGTAGCTGCGGGGCACGGAGTCAGAACTATCGGACATTTAAAAATGGCAGCGCCTGGCAACATGCAAATGAAGCCTAGGAAATTCAAATCCCAGGCTTCATTTGCAATTCCGGTTGACTACATTACCACCCTAGTTCGAACTAGGGTGGTAGTGTAGACATACCCTCTGTTATTAGTTTGAAGCCTGCTACCCATTCATTTCATTTGGTGTCCTTTAGTCCTTCTATTATGGGAACTAATGAAGAACTTTTCTTTATGCACCCTCTCCACACCATTCATGATTTTATAGACCTCTATCATATTCCCCCTCAGTCTCCTCTTTTCTAAGCTTAAAAGTCCCAGTCTCTTTAGCCTCTCTTCATATGGGACCTGTTCCAAACCCCTGATCATTTTAGTTGCCCTCCCCTCTCCCACCCTCTCTCTTCCCCTCTCCCACCTCCTTTTCCCAGTCTCCCCAAGTTTTGTTCAATAAAGAGAGTTTCTATTTTTGAACACACGTGTCCTTTATTTTGTACATCAGGAAGGGGGGCTAAGGAGGGGTAAGTGGAAGGAGGTGAGGGAGGAATGGGGTACGAGCCCCTGATGGGGAGGACTGGGCTGGCTCTGCGGGCTCCTCGGGGTGGAAACTCTCCTGAAGCCCCTTGATTGACCCCCCCCCTCTGGATGGCAGCCTGCGGCAAGTGCAGCCGGGCTGATGGCCGAGTGCTGTGATGTGCCGAGTGTGGGCACTCAGGGCACTCCAAGCCAGGACTGCTTTGCAAGCGGGGAACCCCTGAGAACTGTCTGTCCGGGGTGGGGGTCGGGTCCCTTTAAGCACAGCCCTCTGCTAGCCTGAGGCAGCAGCTCCACACTCTTAAGTCCTAATCTGATGCCCTGCCAGCAGTGCTTCTGGCCATCCTTAACCTCAGTTTAGGGTCCACTCTGTGTGGACATGCTAGTTTGAATTAGCAAAACGCTAATTCGAACTAGTTTTTAAGTCTAGATGCACTAATTCGAATTAGCTTAGTTCGAATTAGTGCTGTAGTGTAGACATACCCTCAGGGTTTGAAAATGCTTTACAGGGTAAATATTGTCTCCACTTTTAGATGCAAAATCGGTACCAAGTGGTCGAGTAGCTTGATTAGTGTCACACAGCCACTATCAGGTATAGCACCCAGCCTGAGTCCCAGGATGCTCCTGTAATTTCTAGGATTGCTGTCCCAGTAGAGCAGAAAAGGTCCAAATATATTACTTAGATTGTAAAGCCACTCAGGTCTGACACTGGCAAAGGAATCACGCTGGCAAACCTAAGACTGCAGGCATTCGCTAACAACTAAGCAACTCATAGCTGGAGACCAGGCCAGCTCACTTGTATTTTAGTTTGGTCAAAATAGGTGTTAGCCTGGAATACAGCCATTGAAAGTGAGATAAATCCATGTAGCAATTTAGTTATTTTACAGAATCTAAATCTTAGAAGACTATTACAAAATAGGTAAGTTTTACTTGAGAACTTTGAAAATGTTGGTTCTGAACTTTTGAACCCAGGTGCAGGAATTGCCCCTCCTCTGCTCATCCAGAAGAAGGATCAAAATTAGATGGGCCACCAAAGAACATCAGAACACAAAGGACTAGTTTTATGTGCAAGGAAGATCATCCTGTGGACTTGGAAGCTGACTGAAGAAAATGAAACAAGTCACAGGAAAATCTTCCATCTCTCTTCGCTGTTTGAAATCTGACAGGACCAGGGACTTCCAGCTGAAGCCAGAGTCCCCATGGGGTTATCCCGAGTCTGCCCTGAAAGATACTTTGAATTGACAGCTCACTACAACTCAGTCACTCTGGGGATTTAGATGATATCTCATTAGTGTGTGAATGTTTGCTTGTTTTTGCTTGTAAATAACTCTCATTTCTTCCTTCTTGTTAATAAATCTTTAAAATGTTTATTACAGGATTGACTACAGCTGTTGTTTTTGATGTAAGATCGAGGGTAACAGCTGATTTGAGGTAAGTAACCAGTCCATTGGGACTGGAAGCAGCTTGAATGTGGTGTGATTTGTGCTTAGGTAATCTCTTATCGTTAAATCTAGTTTGTGTGGGTGACAAGTTAGACTGGAGAATCTGAGGGGACTGTTTCTGACTCCCTGGTGAGACTGGTACAGTGACCCAGGAGTTCACACTTATTACTGGCTTAGTGAAATCTGATTATAGGACACACCCTAGATTTGGGGTATCTGCCTGGTTTTGACAGTCTGTGCAGAGGTTGGCACTTACCGGCATGAGTCACTCAAAACAGCATGACAGCAGGGTGTCTTGTGCTAGGTGGTGCCTGAACACATAACAAAAACGGGGCCCTCGTCCACCATTGCAGTCTGTAGGAATATAAGTAATTAGTATGAAACATAAACATATTTGACAGTGAAACAAAATTGGTAGCCTTAAAACTGCCTTTGAAAAATGCATGAACACCAAAAGCAATGTGATATACAGATAAGTCTAAGCAAAGTCCTGGCACCATTGAGGTCAGAGGGAGCATTGCCATTGACTTCACTGAGCACAGGATTTCAACCTAAGAAATCTTCCCTCTCTATTATGTATATGCACAGATATACCTTCATGTCAACAGGTAGTCTAAGGAAGAGTGTGCTAGTATGGATTGAGAATGCTAGACTCTTAAAAGTACACTTGCACTACAAACATTTGACTAAACTGGTATCATACCCACATGCTCCATTTCCCACTTTGTCATAACCATTGACCATGTCATTTCCTGGAGCAGCAAGCTTGTAACAGATGTTGTTCCCATTTATGTTCCGTCTCTGGAATGAATAGTCTAGCAAATTAAAGGAGCCATATGAGTCTGGCAACAAACATTGAAATATACAGGATTGGCTTTGAAACTGTAGACAGGTTTGATGTATTAAGCATACTGGAAGGAAATACTGTTAATTGATAGTCCTGTGGCACCTTAAGGTACGTCTAGACTACATGGCTCCGTCGATGAAGCCATGTAGATTTGTTTGTTCGGCAAAGGGAAATGAAGCCGTGATTTAAATAATTGCGGCTTCCTTTAAATTTAAATGGCTGCCCCGCTCTGCCGATCAGCTGTTTGTTGGCCGCTCCCCTGTCGACATGCAAGCCCTTTATCGACCTCACCGGTAAACCTCATCCTAAGAGGCATAACGGGGAGGTCGATAAATGGCTTTCAGGTCAGCGCAGGAGCGTCTAGAAGTCTTCTCTATGTGGCCAAATTTACAAGTCATCCTTCTTTTCTGAGGGGTGGGGGAGGGAATCATACTCATTTCAGCTCTACTCTGATGAAATGTTTATCCTTTGGTGCTCTAGCATATTTATGCAGCTCTATGCATTGCTGAAGACAAAGCCAATATTCTACTCATTCTCAGTACACCTGCACAGGACTGGGAGTCATGCAGGATGCTTTTTCTTCCTCACTTCTGTAGGTACCTGGCTCTTTGATGTAAGAGGGGTGCCTTATGCTCTGGTACTACTCAGTGTGGTTGCACAAGACGGACTCTGATGTGACTATAAATGAGTAAAAGGAGAGTTTAAAGTTGTATAATGTACCACTTGCACCTGGACATATACATTTCATCACTTTAGTTTCCCCCTGGATTTCTCTACACTAAATTCACAGTGAATTTAACAACACATAACTATATCCCCACCCATCCAATTTATCACAGAATATAGGTAAGGGAATCTAAGAAAATGTAAAACAAAAAGAGGCCATAAAATAAACTAGCATCTGAGGGTATGTCTACACTACCCCGCTAGTTCGAACTAGCGGGGTAGTGTAGACATACCCTAAGAGACTAGCAAAAATATATAGGATCATGAGCTTTCGTGGCAAAACCCACTTTCAGCTCATGATCCTATATATTTTGATTAGTCTCAAAAGGTACATCTACACAGCAGGACAAAAGTCAAATTAAGATACGCAACTTCAGCTATGTCAATTGCGTAGCTGAAGTCAAAATAGCTTAATTCGGTTTTTGGCTCTGTCTACACAGCAGGAAATCGAAGGAAGAACACTCTTCCTTTGACTTCCCTTACTCCTCGTAAAATGAGGCTTACAGGTGTCGGAATAAGAACTCCACCATCTCAACATTATTTCAAAATAATGGCTTGCTGTGTAGACACACATTTTGTTATTCCAAAATAACGCTGCTCTGTAGATGTACCCTAAGGTGTCACAGGACTACTCTTTGTTTTTAAGGTTACAGACTAACATGGCTACCCTCTGGGACTGTTAACTGGCATTGTTAAAGTAAATAAAAACATAAAACCCTTATTTTTCCCAAACTGTATAGCTATAACATATAGGCTGTGTCTACACTGGCATGAATTTCCGGAACTGCTTAAAACGGAATACTATTCCGTTTTCAGTTTTTCCGGAAAAGGAGCGTCTACATTGGCAGGCTGCTTTTCCGGAAAAGCCCTTTTTCCGGAAAAGCGTCTGTGGCCAATGTAGACGCACTTTTCCGGAAAAGAGCCACGATCGCCATTTTTGCGATCGGGGCTTTTTTCCGGAAAAGAATGCTGGGCTGTCTACACTGGCCCTTTTCCGGAACAGTGTTCCGGAATAAGGACTTATGCCCGAGCGGGAGCAGAATAGTTTTTCCGGAATAGCGGCTGATTTTGTACAGTAGAGCATCGTTGCTTTTCTGGAAATTCAAGGGCCAGTGTAGACAGCTCGCAGCTTATTCCGGAAAAGCGGCTGATTTTCCGGAATAAGTGGCCCAGTGTAGACACAGCCATAGAGTTGTGTGCAGTGCTGGGGAGGAACAAGCAGTCATGGTACATGTAGGTACTAATGACATAAGGAAGAATAGGAGACAGGTCCTGGTGGCCAAATTTAGGCTGCTAGGTAAGAGATTAAAGTCCAGGACCTCCATGGTAGCATTCTCTAAGATGCTCACAGTTCCACGTGCAGGGCCAGTTAGATAGGCAGAACTGCAGGGTCTCAATTTGTGTCTGAGACAATCATGTAAGGAGAAGGGGTTCAGATTTATTAGGACCTGGGGAACCTTTTTTGGAAAGGGGGAGCCTATAAAGGAAGGATGGGCCCCACTTAAACCAAACTGGAACCAGATTGCTGGCACTTAGTTTAAAAACTGCTCTACGACCTTTTAAATATAAAGAGCTGAGAGAAACCAAAGAGCATGAATTTGTGTCTGAGACAATCATGTAAGGAGAAGGGGTTCAGATTTATTAGGACCTGGGGAACCTTTTTTGGAAAGGGGGAGCCTATAAAGGAAGGATGGGCCCCACTTAAACCAAACTGGAACCAGATTGCTGGCACTTAGTTTAAAAACTGCTCTACGACCTTTTAAATATAAAGAGCTGAGAGAAACCAAAGAGCATG